TCTTCCCTGGTTTGCTCCATTGCTACTACATCATTCTGTGCTATCCATACAGTGAAGGTTACGCCACTCTTGGAGGTGACGGACACAACCATAGGGCTAATGACTACGGTGCTACAGTAGGATAGACAAAAAGTCATCTTGAAGTTGGACGTAGGTGTTCTTGCGTCTGACGAATGAATAGGCTAGTGGTATCCTGTTTGTTGTGAATTATATCTCATATGAAATAATAAATCAATCCCTGAAGTATAGTGTAGTAATGATAGTTGGAGCATGTTACCCGGATGCCTGCCCGAATAAAAATTGATAAAACTTTTGATTTTTTACAATTTTAGTATGGCATTGGCAGGGGATACCTACCTTACAAACACCGTTAATATACGATCTGTTATTGAATTGAACACAATCTGTAGGAATTTCTTGCAACCTTGTTGCACGCATAACTTAAGTTGGCCGGTCAAGTTTTCAAAACTTAGTAAAGATCCATCGGTTCAATGTGTCTATATGCGAAAATTAAGTTGAATGTCCTAATTAATTTCTCTGGTTTCAGTGGAATATAATTGAATGATTGACGGAATTTTGACAGGAATCGTTTTGGTTTTTGTCGCTTGAATTCTGATCGGGGTTTGGGAGCTATGTTGATCGGCAGTCTTTGCTAATCTTTATGACTCTCGCTACCTTATCAATCAGACCCACTAGCTATTGCCAGAATCATATTTTCTTGTTCTATCACCCTTTGGATACGTTTTGTAGCCTTTGGACGATTTTACTTGGCTACATTTTTCTGATGTTGGTGGTTTTTCTATACTGTTTGAGAACTATATTACACTCAGAATAAGTTAAATGCTACCAACTTATTACTATTACGGATATTTACATTTCATTATACATGGTTCTATTGCGCCATGTTAGATGCTATATACTCACCGTTCTCTGTCTTATCACCACTTGTTTTTCCACCACCTTGCTTCCATAACCATAATGCTTCTATCGCATAGTTTCTTACAGATAAATTCCTAGTTTTTGATTCATCTGCAGCCTCCGTTAGGGAATCAATGATTCTCAATTCGTCAATCAAATCCCACATTAAGTTTTCAAAATTCGAAATGAGTTCAGTTAAATTCTCATTGAATTCTTGGTCTTCGGTTTCTCCTACTGGTAAAATGTTATACTTGTGTAATCCTAGTTTATGCAAAATTCTGCCCAAAATTTGTATACTGAAGGATCTTTGACCTGCGAGTACAGATCGGGACAAATGAACTAATTCACTTAATGTGTATCCCGGTAAATGTGGATTTTCAGAATGATGGTGTAATCCTAGATATGTAGGTACCTCTCCTTTCTCACCAGAGGCAGAGTCTGATTTTGTTAAATCAACCAAATCACCCTTGAAATCAAACCTCATATCCGAAATTGATTCATACGTCGTAGTAACTTGTTTTGGCAACGGTTCCGTCATCCATGATAGCTTATGCGTTTCTTTCGGTAAATCGGGATAATACTTTTCATGTAATTTATCATAAAATTCTGGATCATTTAAGTCAAGTTTTTCATTATAATTATTAACCTGAATTGGCTTCGTGAAATGAACAGATGAGCCTTCGTTTTCATCATCTGAATCATTCACTAATTGGTAATCCTTGTGAGCTACTTCATCTGTATCACCTGTAATTAAATCATTTACGTCTTCCACGTCTTCCCATCCATTAGGATCCAATTCAACATTCTCGTCTAAATCTTCGTATTTCACAGTAGTCACATCTTCAAATCTTACAGTTTTAGAACTATCTTTAGGCTTGTTATCCGGATTATCTAGTTTGAGGTCATCCTCTAAATTTAAACGGTTAATTCCTAATGCCTTATCAACATCACCTTCATCTAATAGAGTTACATCTGTCCATTCATCATTGGTTCTTCCACCACCTATCCATCCATTAAATCCCTCTGCATGTACATGTCCATCATTACTATTACTGCAACAGCTCTCATTGCCTTTTTCTTTCTTTTCGGATCTTTTCAAGAGACTTTTAATGAGATTTGGATCCAAACCATTTAATAACTCTGCCTGTTCTTGTTCAATTTCCTCGCTAGTCATTTGCGATATTTTGTCCAAGTTCTCTTGATGTATCTTTTCAGCTTCTGATTTAGGTTTAGTAGTAACTGGTTTCGACTGTTGTACCTCTGGAACCTTCTTTGATTCTAGTCTCTGTTTCCACTTTGATACTTTCTTCTCCTTTAACTTATTCAAATCTGGAAACCCCGTTTTAGCCGTCATTTGTGGAGGCTTCGGTGCCTCTATTTCATGCTCTACAATCTCTCCAAGCATGTCCATCTTTATATTATCTAGTTTAACCTACGGTTGTTCCTCTTCATACACTGTAAAATTATTTTTATTTAATATTTGCGTACTGTATATTACATATATTACAAATCTATATATCAACAGGTTTACTTCCTTCACTAGATGACTGTTGGTTTTCTGAAAGAGGTGGAAGGTATTGGGGCATACGAAACTCGTTCTCCTTAATCTTGCTGTTAATATAGTCTAAGAATTTATCGCTTAGTCTATCATTATATTGTTCATATTCAATAAGTCTATTGGAGTATAGGCTATCCGTCGTAGACTTTTCTATGTCACTAACGTTTATCCCCTCCCTTGATGGATATATTACGTCCACGTATGGAACCAAAAATAAGATAAAACTTATAGCTAATCGTTTACGTGAATATGACGACTCATGTTGGGTAAAATCACCGTTAGTTCGATTGTTATTTAACCACAAATTTTGCCAATTTCTTTTAAACCCGAAAGAAAATGGAGTATCATGAACAGTGTATTGTATAACTACTCTTGTGTTATTATATCTAACATTAATATATCGTATACCAGTTTCTTCTCCAGGTATTTTACGATCACCTTTCTTTTTCGTTTTATCGTTGTGTGACGTCCACCTTGAATATCTTTTCACTTTTTTTATATTAATATCATCAATCGTAGTCATATTATGAACGACGTACCATAAATGTACGGATAATAGTGACAGTAATATGAGTATCCAGAACCCACTCAAAATATAAAGAACAATATAATTATGGTCAATATCTTGAGTACCTCGATCATAATTCAGTTTCGTATATCGTGATAAATAAATCAACATAACTATGAAAAACATTAGGAACCAAATCATAAAATTTAAAAAATACTTATAATTTCTCTGTCCAATAACAGTACCTATCCAAACGCAATAATGATCAAATTTTTGAATACAGTAATTCCTATCCTTCAGATGTAACGTCCTCGGAAGCTTAATTGACTGGCATTGGGAGCACCAAAATGGGTAGCCAGATTCGTCACAAAAAAAGTAATCTGGAACAGGAGTCAAATCAGTCGTATCTTCCGAATTATACAAATTGAAAGGCTTGACTCGAGGAGCTTCCCCTGGCCCTACTACCACCAATAATATCCAATATGCTATCACACATACTTCACACCAAGCCAAAATGACCCATAGACTTATGGCTACACCATGCGAATGAAATTTGTATATTTCTCGATATCCCAAGGCATAAAAGCATGCAAAATCAATATACCCTAATCCTAATGCAACACATATCGGAATGACTCTCTTTGCCCAATCATATTTGAAAAGTTTAGGATCAAACACCATGGAATGATATTGTGGTTCTAATAATTCTTTCTTACTATCTGATATGAATATATTGCACAGAATCCAGTTTTGTGTCGTTTTTCTACCTTAACATAAAATAGTCGATATCATACATAGTATAAGATTACAAATAATTTCGAATATATAATCTATATCTCTTTGTCTCATGGTGGTGGAAGGTATGTGTATCGGATATGATTCTAAATAAGATGTTCTCGTTACTAACTGGAGTCACAGATGATCGTTCGAAGGATATGTGTCCTATCTGTAAAACAGATAAGTACTTATCACCCAATATGAATTTTCTCATCAACCCAGAATGCTACCACAAAATATGTGAATCATGTGTGGACAGAATATTCTCTCTCGGACCAGCACCTTGTCCGTACCCTAAGTGTGGTAAAATATTAAGGAAGAATAAGTTCAAAAAGCAGATTTTTGATGACTTAGGCATAGAAAAAGAAATTGATATACGGAAAAGAGTAAGTGGTATATATAATAAAACTGAAGATGATTTCGATGACTTGAAGGATTACAACAAATATTTGGAATCTGTCGAAAATATAATATTTAATCTTAATAATGGAATTGATGTTGAAGAAACTGAGTCCAATTTGGTTAAATATGAAAATGAACATAAAATTGAAATATTGGAAAAAAATATGAGAGAGAGTCAAAAGAATTCAGATTTGGCCAAATATCAAGAAGCCATGGCTCGTTTGAAACAAGAAAAGGTCAAGATTCAGAAGCAAATGGAAATTGAAGATTTGGAATTTCAGAAACAACAGAAACAGGAATTATTAGACAAGTTATCGACTGCACAATCCGCAAATTCGGAAGAATTAATCACGCAGTCTAATAATAATATTCTCAAAAGATCTTCTTTGCGGAAGAGACAATTACAGCAATTGACTTCCCAATTAGATCAACAATTTCAAAGTTCGAATCCGTTTGCTAAACAAGCTAAGGCTATAGAAGACGAAGATAATAGAACGCCCTTCACTCCATTTAAAGGTGACCGTGAGTTGCATAAAAACTATACATTTTTGCCTGATATCCATGAGAACGATGCAATGGACGTGGAAGACGCTGGATCAAATACGTATTACGCTCCTTATTTGAGCAAGCTTGCGAAGGATAAACAGTATTTAGGTGCTGGATGGAGATTAAATAATGCATTTGAGAGAGCATTAGATGAAGCATTCACAGGTTTATGCTGTTTCATTGATAAAGAGAAAAACTAATTGTAGAAGTTCAGAGCTTATATAGGCGTGGCATTTTGTATATTGATATTTGATAAACTGGCATTTTTGATAAGTATCCTGTAGTGTTAGATTATAATTCCAATAGGTTATCGTTGTCATTTCCTGTATGACTAGTTGACTGTGTAGATTTTTTGATCCCTGTTATTATAGGTTGAATAGGCTCTTGAACCATCGAAAGGTTCGGCAATGATGAATTATACTCTTCAAACTCATCATCGACATCATCTTCTTCTTCTTCTTCTCGTTCTTCCTTTTCGTAACTATCTTTGTTCTTATGCGATGCGATTTCTTTACTCTGTTGTATTTCTTTACTCTGTTGTATTTCTTCCTCTTTACTTTTTAGGTTATATTTTGTCCGTTCTTCACTGGAATCATTCCTTTCTCCTTTTGTATCTTCTGTTCCTTTCCTTACTTCTTCTTTCGTAGCTTCTTTTTTTAGTTCCGTGGATTGCTTTTCTCCTTCCTGTGTGACATTCTGATTGTTATTCATATTCACTTCGTCTACGATTTCAGGTAAGGAACTCGCATCGATTGCTCCTTGGTAATCGCTCGAATATGTTCCATGAATATTCAATATGGGGTTCTTAGCTTCTTTCTTTGCAGCTGCAGCCTTTTCTATTTTCATACTTTTGCTCACAGAGGTATTGTTGCCCCACAACGATAAGCCTGCCGTTGGCAAAAATGAAAACCGCTTATTCTTACCCGAAGGACTAGTTGTCATATTTCTGCTAGGACTTGGATTATCAATCTCTGATGGCAAATCTAAATTATGTGAATTATTATTAGAGCCAACATTGAAGCCAAATAATGATCCAAAAAATCCATTTTGTTTACCCTGATCACTGGTTGCATCCTGTAATGCCCTCTCATATTCCTCTTCTTTCTCCTTCAACTTATTAAGATGCTTTTCATGATCTTTCCTCTTTCTTTCGTGAATTTCCTTAGATATTTGTTCACTGTGATGAGCCTTTATCAATTGGATTCGTTTATGAATAAATTTATTGGATTCCCTGTCCACAATACGGTTAAGCTTATTCGTAATGGATTCCTTTGGAATTTCAAGATGCAATTTTTTCTTTAGATTATCGCTATTAATGTCTATACGTTTATTAGCCTCGGAATTGTCTTTCTTACGTTGAACGCTGCCGTTGCTTGCCGTTGTATTGTTAAGTTGGTTGTTACGAAATTGCAATTCTCTTTTTCTGGATTCAATGTATGAATCTCCTGATGACCAACTGAACAAAGTATTCGCCGTTGATTGGACTAAAGTTCTATGTTCATCACCGTTTTCACTCTCACTACTTTCTGTTGTTCCTTGGACATCTACTGTCTGCCAATTCTCAACTATTGACTTCAGTGTTACTTGAATTATTGAATTAGACCATCGTACTACATCTGATTGCACGTTACCTTCATCCACGAACTGTTTTGTAAGCCCTTGAAACGAATTATAGTATTTATTAGCCTTTTGCGTTTGCTGGAGTAATGATTCGGGGTATTCAGGTGTATTATCTGTTTTGTCTAGCGGTATTGGAGGTTCCTTAAATATTATATCTAGCAGTTCCTGTAGCTTTATATTATCAACATCCCCCTCTCCATTTTGCTTTTCAATCATTACAATGTTACTCGTATATTTCCAATGAAGCTTAGTATTATCTAGATGAACGTCTTGATGTATTTGAATCCAAATTTCTCATTCACGAGTGAAGTGCATTTTTCGCTATAAAGAGAAATGAACTTTTTTGGCATATATCAGCTAATGGATAGAGAACAAAAATGGTCTACGAGGTGCTAAAGTTAGCGCAATTCCCAAATTATACTGTATTAATATTCTTGTTTACTGATGTTGATACCCCCGTACTTAAACAAGTTAAAGAACAACTTATCTCCGGAAATAAAGATTATGACTTCTGCTTCTTAAACCCACAGCATATTATATCATTAGAACATTTATACAGCTCTATACATAAAGCAGTTTTGAATTATGAATTCGGCAATATGAGAGCTAAAACATTGAACACTGAAATTATTTTCAATTTATCACCAATAAATAATATTATGGATGCATTGAAGAGATTTGGTGTTGATGAAGCATGTCCCAATTTAATCACGATAAAGGTATTACCTACGTCGGAGTGTAATGAGATAGCGTATAAAGAATTAAACAATCGCCTTTTGAAAATATTAAATACTGACGCTTCACATAATCCTAAATTAAATAACGAAATTATTTTTGATTCGTTGGTTGACGTGAAGAAGTTAAAGAAGGTTTATAAGTTAAATGATGCCAAGTTTTCAAAAGACGAATCTGGCTTACAAGGTGAGTTAACTCGATTAGCTATAGGTGCATGCCAATTGAGAGGTTGTTAATGATGATCGACGATTATACTCTCTAAGTACATATATTTCCAAAATGCTAGGTCTATTATACTATTCTAATATACAAAGAATGCAGTTAGCCCTGAAAAGCAAATCTTTGTAGGCTGATACTTTGTTTCTTTTCAATACTAACTTGAATGTTTGCTGCCTCAACTTGACATGATTCTCTCTCGTTAATTTGCATTATGTTCTCTTTTGCTTCATCTTGAGATATAATATTCTCTTGATAATGGTTCAAGTGAGACGATGGAAGTTTATTATTCTGCGTGGAGGCCGGCTTTAAATTTATATTTAAGTCAGAGGGAGACAACGGATTTGCGGTTCTTGAATGATTTGGTTTATCTTTAGAATTGTTCTCAATATTCATACTGGAATTCAACAGGTATTTCTCACGTAACACCTTGGCAAAATCCCGAAGTTTGTCACTTGTTGGAATTGCCTTAACTGGTGATTCTTCAATTATATCATCATCTTCATCAATTCCAAATTCTACACTTGGGTTCGAATTCTTCAATAAAGATGATGATTCTGGGGTATGCGATTCCAAATCTTTATCTTCATCGTCACTGAAATCATTATCAGTAAGTCCATCAGTAATACCAATAATGTTTGTTTTAGCGGGACAAGATTGAGAACCACGAATATGATTTACAGGAGATGAAAACTCATCGGGTATATCTGAATCTCCTGAAACTAGACTTGAATCCCATGCAGCTTGCTTAGTTGAAATTGGAGTAGGTAATGGATTAGCAACAGGAGTATTTTCAACGTTCCCAAAGAATTTACTAATTTTGCCTTTTGGCGATATGAAACTACCGTTATTGTTATCATTAACAATTCTTTTCATCTTTCTTGTGGTAGGGGAAACCTTTTCTTTGGGGACTTGAAGTCGCTTTCTTTTACTTGGTGTCTCAACATGCATACTTATTTCTTTAGTGGATTTCATGGTGCTAAAAAACGAGTCAATTGCACCAGTCTTTGGGTGCTCTGGAACAGTAGTAACAGATCTACTCCTACCTGCCATATTGCTGGAAATTGATGATTTTTGTGATCCTAAATTTATTGAACCACCTTTCAAATTAGATAAGCTTTGTTCTCTAGATACAAGTATTTCAAGAGTATTTGGGTGTATCTTTCCAGTACAAATTTGATAATGTATTTCTTCATCTAAAGTCTTACCGCAACATGCTTCTAATATTTCAAAATTCAATTTTAAATCCTCCGGATACTCATTTAATGTTTCCAACTTTTCCGTAACGGGACTGAATACCTTTTGAAATTGAAATGCTAAATTCGCCTTATAAACTTCATCCTCAAAATCCGCAGGTGGTTTCTTACCGTCAGATCTTAATGCAATTAATACCTTTTCCAAATTATTGAACCTTTTAACTAGGTTGAACGCCGTTTTTAATCCAATTCCTGGGATACCTTTTGTATAATCACAACCGGAGAGCATTGCCACTAATCTTAATTGTTCTTGTGTGTAATTAGACAAAAATGGTATTTTTTTAACGTTGCAAAAATTATCTCTGCAAATTTCAATACATTCGCCATAGTCATTCAACTTGGTGATTAGCTTATTACATCCGAATATAAGAAGATCAGAATCCTCGGACAATATACCATCAACTAAACCGATTCTCTCTAAATAAACCATTTGTGGATCTGCTTCATATGGTGCGACGATATACTTTACTTTCCTCATATCTAACTCTACCATGATAGATTTTGCCATTTCTGGTGTCACACCAGCTGCTTTCATAAACTCTTTCCATGCCAATTTTCTGTTACCTGCTTTTATTAACTCATTAGCCTTCTTCTGTGCTTCTTCTCTCTTCAATCTTCGTTCTTTTGCTGTTTCGGCCTTTGTTGGTAAATATGCACCGTCGAATACTAAATATGGTTCCACTCCGAAATGTCTTAACATATCTATCTTCTTCATTACTGAATTAATATACTTCTTCGTCGGAACGTCTTGGCATAATTCTTGTGCACAAGATATCAAACCTCTATGTAACCACCCGTAAGTATCAACAGCTAAAGTTTTTCCCTTATATTTTGATAATGAAGTTGAATCTTGAATTTCTTTCAAATGTTGAAGTAAGCCTGTAACTCCCATCTTAATTAGGGTAAGTTGTAATTTAGCTTTGGTGGTTTATTAAAACTTGTTATTACAACTGTTTAAATGCCTTTCTCAATATGTAAATAAAGTATAGAAAAGCAAAACGCGGTTTTTACAGAAATATTTTCCCTTTGATAACAAAGCGTATATAGGTAAATAAATAACTTTGCATCTTCTTACGTAGAATAGAACGTATTCCAAAGATGCACTTATATCTATCAATAAACGGCGTGCATTTAGTAAGCTAATATATAAAACGTATCTATTTCTTCTTTGGTTTATACATGCTGACTGGAGTATTCACCGGGAACCTATGTATGCCAATGCCATGTTTAGAAGTAGTCTTTTTTCGGGAATGATTAACGTCTTTAGATGGATCATACTCAAGAATAGGACAAAATGTAATTTCTTTCGGTTTCACGTTCTCTTTGTTTGTTTCTGTGTTAGAAATTTTGATCTTTTTATTCTGTTGATCAGATATTTGATTTGGAGGAGGTGCATGATTTGTAGCAAAATTACCCTGGTATTGTTGCTGCATTTGGTGATACATCATGTACATCTGTTGTTGTTGCTGTTGTTGTTGTTGTTGTTGTTGTTGTTGTTGAAATTGATATTGTTGTTGTAAAATATATTGTCCTTGATCATTAAAAGGAGCATAGCCATTGGCCATCATTTGTTGATGAGGTGGTATTGTTCTTATCGAATTATTAAAAATTTGGCCTTGAATTGGTATGGGATTCTGGCCCTGAGACGTATGCAATTGTGAGGAAGGTACGCCAGTATTCACAATTGGCTGTGTTTTAGTAGGAGTGGAGGTAACCATTCCATGTTCGTGTAGCTGTGGAGTTTTGAAATATGATTCGGCAGATCTAAGCGAATCATTATCATTTTGATTTTGCATTAGAAACGAAGACGTATCAATAGCTTGTAATTTTGCCTGTATGTTCATATTCTGCGAATCAAATTGTGAGTTAGGTTGAGAAAAGTTTCTAGTTTGCTTTATATTCCCAGTAGATTTTGAAGGCAATAATGTCGGTTGACATTGAATGTTTTTATTAGTAGATACTGCTTCTTGGCTTTGACTTAAAGGTTGATTTTGCAATTGGGAATGGGGTTCTAATGGCATTTGTATTTGGCCTTGCATTTGCATTTTGTTTAGTAATTGTTGTTGTATCTGGTGGTGTTGTATCTGTAATTTCAATTGTTCTTGTTGTTTAACTACATTCGGATTAAATTTGTGAACAGTGCTTGCATCATAAATCGGTGCCGTGAAAGGACCTTGGTTTACAAGCGAATTATTAGCCTTAAAAATATCAATTTTCAAATTTTGGTTCGTTTTCAGCATGCTTGGAGAAATTTGTTTTCCGACAGGAGACGAGTTTTTGTAGGGAGATGAATCCGCAATTTCAGTAGCATTATCATCTACTTCCTCTACTTCTCCGAGGCTTGATGTCTTATCTTCTATGCGAATACTGGTAAGATGGCTCGTACCCTCTGAATATAAGTCTCTGTTGAATTCGTGGACTATTACTCCATGAATTGAAGAGCTTTCATTTAATTCCCTGTTGTCTTCATATATGACTTGTATCACAGATAAATTTTGTAATTCATTAGCATCATCATGTCCATCATTCAAGAAAGACAAGTATCCGGACCAAAAATCTTTCAAAAATGGGACCTGTAAGTCAAAGGTGTTGTCTAGTTCATTTAAATAACCATTCACGATTTCATTCTTCTTCAACATTAACCTTTCACCATTGAATACTTTAGCCATACATTTCCATTGTAGCATATCAGGCGTCTTATCATTATTGATAGCTACATTAAATTTCATATAGGAACTAAAGGAACCATTTTCGAGGCTCATGACCTTCGGGGTTTTGGAATTTGATGGTGTAGATGAAAAGGGTGATAAATCGGAAGCTGGAGATACGGCCTTATTACCACAAACGTTTAAATTGTTAAGTACTAACCAAATAGGGATATCATTAGATGTAAGTTTGGAAAGTAATGAATTATTTAATTCGTTATTAATGTTCTTATTCAACTTATTTCTTAATTTAGATTGGCTCAATGAAGCATGAGAAGTCGAATGGAAACTAGTAAACTTATGC